GGGCTCGAAATGAGGGAATTGGGTTAGTCAGTGAAGGATATCCTTTCTAAACCTGAAATTCAGGGGCTCTACGTTTCTTTCCTCATTGGGCCTGACAAGAGAAGGCAAGAGCCTCATAGGGATGGAATACAATGGCTTTTTCTCTGTCATCTTTGGACATTACAACCTCCTGTGCAAAACCACAGACCTAAGTTCTTATAGATTTAGAACTAAGGGAAATTGAGAACTTCCCCCACTCTTTTGTTCCCTTCAGCATTTTCCCAAGCAGTGGTCTTCTGAGCCTCAGAGCTTCCTTGTCATGTTCATGATCCCTTCTACATGTCAGTATTTGTCACTGAGTTTGGGACTGTCTTTTCATACCCTTTGATGGAAAGTCTGAATTTCTTATGAGGTCCTTGTAGAGCTGCTCAGGTTTTCTGGTAGAACTTGTGTTTAGGTGTGTTTGTGATTGTCTAGTCAAAATGTTATTGCTGGGATCCCCACCCCCTGCCCCAAATCACCCCTCATGAGCTCCCCTCTGGGTTTTTCTGCTCTGGAGAAGATGTGCAGCTTTTTTCTTGGACTTTCTGAAGCGTGCTGTCTAGCAAGGCCTTTCTGCCACCACCTCTTCAGGTTTCTTCCCCTTCACCGAGCAACCCTTCCATTTTCTCCATTACAAAGTCCAGAAGAACCATTTACTTAGTGGTTACCTTTACTTGGCAAGAGATGAAATTGTCAGGAAAGGGAAGTCAAGTATTTTATCAACTATTCTGCTTTTAGCCATGATGAAAGGCCATCCTAATATGCAGCATCGCCTATATAAGGAATTGATGTGAAAAAGAGAAAGAAATACCATTGCACTCAGCCAGTATGGCAGATGCTTTGACAACTTTGAAACATATTCTTTAATGCCAAGAGCTAGCCAAATGGGGTCATGAGCCACAAATCAAACTATATTTCTGAAGGATTTTTCTGGCTTTTTCAGAAGTTGATTGTAAAATACAGCTGGGTTGGGGTGGGGAGTCTTCCCATAGTCCTCAGTGAATTCAAATAAGGGCCATATGTCTTGTTTCCAGCTTCAAATCTTTGAGAATTCTGCATATGTTGATGGCAGGCCAGACGTTCTCATCAAATTCTGAATTTGTTTACATGTGTGATCAAAAGAAAGATGGGAACTTTGTCAGTATCTAGAACCGATGGAACGATGATACTAGAATTAATCTCTAGGACCCATCATCCCTTTGCTCCATTCTTGTACCTGGCCCTGGCCCTGGCCCAGGCCCACACACCCAGATGAATTAGGTGCCCAGCCCAGTGCTACCAGCCTGCAAGGTCTTTTATAATCGGAGGTTTTTGCCATATATGAATATGCTTGTAGTTTTTCCAAATGAGGCCAGGAATCAATGCTAAAGGCTTATTTATGGAAAAGATTCAACTGGAAATACTTACCTAAACACATAAAAGAGGCATGAATATTGAGTAGCTTACCAGGAAATCAGGATAATAGGAGCAAACTATGCCAGACAGTATTTCTGAAGCCTTGGGAATAGATTTGATTATAGTGTGTGTAGTATTTACAGCAAATAACATTTTCTGCAATGCATAAAAGATTTTTAGCCACATAAATTTGATGCAAAAAGCATTGTCAGGCCGCTAGAAGTATACTCTTGAGGCACTGAGATTCCTCAGCCCTAGGACTTCCAAAATCAGTTTAAAGATCAAGTTACTAATGTAAACGTGAGGGGAAAAAAGTCCTTATTAATTCGTTGCTGCTGCTGTTGTTGTTTTTTAACTATTAGAGCCCTAAGCAATGGTATTTCAATATCCTCAGATACGCTATTTACATATGTACACATGAACCCAGAGGGTTCCTACAATACCATTCATAGGTGTGTTTAAATTTTGCCTCAGACCACAAATTAGTAGTTAAACAGTTTTTAAAACTATGACATTTTCTGTTGGATACAGAGAACTCTTAAGACAACAAAAAGTGGCCCATCATCTCACTGCCCTGTTGAGGTTTTTTTTAATAAAAATAATAGGCACCTGTGATGAGAAATTGCAAAAACAGTACAGGGAGGTACAAAATGAAGAGCAAAAGGCTTCCACATGTACACTCCCCAAAGAACATGTACCTATTCCTAGACAAGATTTCCATGCATATATAAAACCCACTGGCTTTTATATAAGGATATTGTTGAATTTTTATTAAAATGAGTTTGTTTCTTAATGTGATTTATTTGCCTCGTGTTTAGAATATTGCATGGTAAAGTTTCTTTTGTGCATATTATACTTTTATTTTACTAATATATTAAAAGCCATATTTCAATGACCCCTGTACATTTTTCATGCTGTCTTACTCCCAATGGCCTCTGTGCATGTAAGTAACCTGTTGAGTGACTATGCCTCTTTGTTTTTGACGGTTTCCTTTAAGTCCCTTTTTTTTTAATCTGCAAACAACATAAAACTTTTTAAAAGTTCAGTCTTTAACTGTTCTCCTTATATTCTTTGTATGTCTTATTTTTAAATATTCTCTTTTATTGTTTCTCAATCCTATGACCATGTGGTGATTTCATTTCGACCAGAGTAACTCACGTATGGTTAAGATATTGACGTGTAACATACCTGTTCATTTGTTTGTGCTGTCGATTGTTCATATCTAACTCATTCTTACCTGTTTCTTAAAAATTGACCAGTCTTAAGTGGGTAGGATTGCAGTTAGGGCTCTGTGGAAGGAAAGGGATGCGGATACCATTTAGAAAGCCTGTGCCATCATCATCTTGCCCTTTCATGAGATGCTTGATTATTTTTCGGTATTAAAATATATATCCGCTTGTTGATGTACCTCTTTCATAAGCATCCTTTTTCTTGATGGAAACATCACTCCGAGGGCAGTGGGTATAAAAAGCAATGCCGTAAGCACTCCTGCTTTTATTTTTGCAACTCTGACACTCTGTCACCACTGAAGCATGACTAGCCAGCTCCAGCACGCACAGAACCTCGTGTTTGTTTTCATTTGGGGAGTCTGCCATTCTAGACACAGAAAGCACTTCTTGGTGTTTAGCTGAATTAAAGACTTTTGAGTCAACCTTTATGGAATCAAGCTATCAAAAGCAAACAAATGCACAGATACCCATTAACATGCACTAACCCTTATTTTAACACATTGTATTTCTTTTCTTTCTTTCTTTCTTTCTTTCTTTCTTTCTTTCTTTTTTTAGTAGTTTGGGAATGATACTTTTGTTCATTTGTTTCTGATCTGTTGCATTCCAGAGTATCCTATTTTGCATTTTAAGGTTCTTTGCTACTGGGAAGATCACAGATGTTAAGGACTGAGCTGAGAGCCAAAAGCATTTGGCCATATTGTTTCAGGGAGCAGAAGCTTCTCTTAGTGATTGAAGCATCCCAGATCCCTTTATTAAACCAAGGCATCAATTTTATTGATTTTATTTCAAATCCTCTGAAACGTAGAGCTTATTCAATATTATTTTAAAAAGAAATTTCAGTGTGTGCCTGACAACACTGCGATATCACCATACAGAAATCCATTATAGGAAACACAGACTCATGATTTTAGCCTTCATGTGAGAATTTTCAAATGTGTGTGAGAACCAGACTACCTTGAACTTCAACAGGAATAGTCGTCCTCTTGGGAAAGTTTTGGTAACAGTTCTGTTAAGAGGCAGGTTTCCAAAAAAATAGTTTTTTTAAGTATTTATTCTCAGTCTGTAATGATTCGAGAACTCCCCTTTTGCAAAGGTTTCCCAGCTCAGACTCTGCTTCACGCTTCTTTGCATCTCGTCCATCCTGACTGACCACACATGGGCTGACAAAGTTTGGGACCCAGGGAAGCATGTTTCCCTACTTATATACCCAAGACTCTCCATCGAATGGAGAGCTGGGTTACAGTAAAACTTGTGAGATGCTCATTTCAAAAGCTTGTGAAATCATAGTTTCAGAACTTGACTTTGAAAGAATCTAGCATGCTACCTTCAGCACCTCCGCTGAAAGAAAGAACCATGAAGTTAAAAGACCAGCTGTCCATGCATCTCTCATCCATCCCTAGAAATAATCTAGTGGCCTCCTTCTTGGTTAACTTTAGTTGCATTCATGCTATATTCATGTTGGTCAATGTCTGCAGACATTTTCTTTTTAGTAATGCTAATTTCTTAGAATTGCAAAAATATGAACAGCATGTGGTTTTGAATGAATTTGTATGACTTGTTGGATACTGCATGACAAGATATGCAGTATCTCTTAGAATTGGACTTTTATGCATGTGCTCAGTGTATCTTTGGATGCCCCTGGTTCTAAAGTGCATTTTCATGGGCTTAAAAATGAAATTTTCTCCCAAAAGGTTATAGGACTAAAATTACACGAAAGCTCAGACCATAAGTTGGACTTCTATTTTTTTAAGACACAGTTTTACTATAACTTTAGTTCTGCCAGTAAAATCATAATTGATGTACGTGAAATACTCCTGTAGATTTACCTTTCTTCTAAATCTTTGTATTGTAGTGTTCGATCAATTAGATCTCGTTACATATGAAGAAGTAGTAAAACTGCCGGCATTCAAAAGGAAAACACTAGTCTTATTAGGTAAGTTTGACTGTATAAGTAACTTTGTTAATGTCATCTTGAACACATTTTGCAAATGTTACTAACAATTGTCAATTTCACCTTCTTTTAAAATGACATAGGTGCGCACGGTGTTGGGAGAAGACACATAAAAAACACTCTCATCACAAAGCACCCAGACCGGTTTGCATACCCTATTCCACGTAAGCTATGTCTCACTCTCTTTTAAGTATACTAGTCCTAGTACTTTTTAAATGTTGTAGTTAATGTATTTTTTTTCTATTATATAAGCTGTAACTACTCGTTAGGGGAAATCTGGAAGATCCAAAGCAGAACAAAGAAGAAAATGAATTAACAGTAATCCTGACCACATTTGCCCAGTAGTGGCACCGTAAACATTCTATTGTAGACTCCCACAAGCTTCTCTCAGGGCAAACGTAGGCAGCGTGTGATTTGCTTGTCATTGTTGTTTTTTAACAAAATTGGGCTCATCCACTCTATTTGTGACCTGATTTTCCCAGCAGTATGGCTGGGACATGACTCAGATGAATTCTTCTTCGGAAAAATAGATCTGATAGCACAGTGTTCTTTGATAGAACGATATTCTCCTGAAACGTACCTAAGTTATTGACTTTCATCACTTTGAAAAGCCAGTGTACCATCGGGTGGTTCTTATAAAGAATTTTAAATCTGTAATATTTTTATTCCCTTTATTTTCTCTATCTCACCCTTAACTTCTTGCCCTGTGTCCTCAACTGTAAGATGAAGTAATTCCAGGAATGTAAAGAATATTTGAGATTAGGAAGCACTAGCAAATACTGGATAAAGAGCAGTCATGTTACTGCTATCACTGTTTTCAGTACTGTTGTACCAGAGTTTATAGTTTGAATCCCAGAAGCTTTCTGGAAGATACAGTTTTGTTCGAGGTGGGAAGGACTAAAGGGGAATGAGTTATAACACCAAAAAGAGAAAATGGGAAGATTGGCTCTTCCCAGTAGGGTCTTCTGTTGCCTTCCTGAAGCCAGGTCAACACCACTTACGGTTTTCTCTACGCCCCAGAGAGCTGTGGGGCTTCATAAGACCACACCCTCCTTCCAGAACCCTGTCTGATTTACACAAAAAAGGAAATTCATCAAACACCATTTCATTTGGTACCTCTGGGATTTTCTAGTAAAACGCTTTGAAGTATTCGTTTAATTCTCCTTATGTCTGGATCAGAAGTATAGCAAGCTTAACTAACATTTAGTTTCTTCTTGGTCACATAACAATTGAACGTCCATGTTATTAAACGGCCAGTTAACTAGCTTGGTTTTGAAGCATACATTGCCAACCTCAGTCATGTGAGTCATGAGGTCTCTCTCTCAAATATTTGACCCCAGATGCGTATATAGCATATGTTTGCCTACCGAGATGACTAAGCATCGTACAGCATCAACACATGATGCCATCTCTTCAGTTTTTATGTGCCTGGAGAAAGAGTTCTTTAAAACATCTACATTGGAACATCCATGAGCACTTGGAAGTTCTAATAGTCCATCCAGTTGGGGTAGGAGAGAGGGGCAGTTCCCCATGGGTTTGGACCCATGCACACAGCAAAGGGGAGCATAAAGTTTGTCCTTGTCCAATGATGGAAACTGAAAGAAAGGGGAGGGGAAGGGGAGAGGGAGGGAGGAAGGAAAGAAAAAAAGAGAAGGAGAGAAGAAAGGAAAAAAGTGGGAGGAAGGAAGATTTAAACCAGTGTTCCTGGCGTGTCTAGAAAGACATTTTCTAAATTGTGTTTTGCAGAACACTGGTCCTGTCAGTCTCCCACAGAACTAGGACTTACCGGCCAATATTTTAGTACATGTTCTCTTGGGCCACGGGTCAGCAAACCTTTTCTATAAAGGACTAGATAGTAAATATTTGAGGCATGGATGGCCACATGGTCTCTGTCACAACTACTCATCTCTGCCATTATCACATGAAAGTAGCCATAGACAATATGTAAACAAATGGGCATGGATGTTTTCCAATAAAACTTTATTTATAAAAGCAGGCTATATTTGACTCATAGGCCATAGTTTGCCAACTCATGGTGTAGGTCTTTACTAACTATTATGGCCACATCTGGCCAAGGTCATTGGATTCTCAATGTAGTACACCTTTTGCTGTATTCTAACATTCTCTTTTGCAAGCTGCCATAGACCAGCACTATCCAATGGAACTTTTCTCTGATAGTGACAATTTTCAATATCTGTAGTGTCCATTATAGTAACCATGAGCCACATGTGGCTACTGAACCCCTGAAATGTGGCTAGCCAGACTGAGGAACTGACATTTTAATTTTAATTTATTTAAATTTAAATAACCATATGTGGTTTTCCATTTTTTTTTAACTCTTCTTTTTTCCTTCTGCTTAAGAAGTAACTGCATTAAAGCATACAGTAAGTTATGTTAATCTTGGGTCAGTGTCTTTGTCCTGTAGAGACCCATGAAGAGATAAAATAAATCTCATCTAAACACTGAAGGATTCACCAGACCAAACGACTAACCAGTTTTTGTGGTCCGATGTCACGCAGATAAACATGGTGCTGAGAATTTAGTTCTACAAAGCTACTGGGGGTGGGAACGTAGCATGAGACCTATACTGGAAAAATCCACAGCTCTCAAGATTTTGGGCTTGGGTAGGTCCATTGGGAGCATCAGATCATGAGCTCAGCCTTTTGAGCCTCTCTTGATATGTGACTTTCTTTGCAGATACAACCAGACCTCCAAAGAAAGATGAAGAAAATGGAAAGAATTATTACTTTGTATCTCATGACCAAATGATGCAAGACATCTCTAATAACGAGTACTTGGAGTATGGCAGCCATGAGGATGCGATGTATGGGACAAAACTGGAGACCATCCGGAAGATCCATGAGCAGGGCCTGATTGCAATACTGGACGTGGAGCCTCAGGTAACACCCAGCCACACGCTGCCCCCATCCACCTGCCTGCATGCTAAGCTCAGGTTCTGAAATCAAAAGCGCCATCAGAACAGCGTGGGTCACATAATAACTAAAGGAAAGTATCGTAATGCAGGCATCATGGGTTGACAGTCTAGAATGCAAACTGATCATTGAGCTCGGTGCACACACCGTGTATTTAAGAAGCAACAGTATACTCTTACGAGATTCATTATACTCAGAAGCTCAATGAAAGTACCCAATTGGGTCTGTGCTGCCAGAAATCCTACAATAATCTGACCTCAGGATGAGACTTGGGCACTTTGTGATCACAACAGCCCCCTTTTCTCTCCCGGTACAGCTCACACGGGACTGTCAGAGCCTCTCCCGGCGTCTTCTGTTCATCACCATCAATGAACTCTGATCCTGGGGCCTGGGTCGGGGTCTGAAACACAGCACTGGCTTTAGGAAAGCAAGCAGGAGTGAGCCCAGGGAGTGCCAGATGGGGCAGGGAGGGAGACCCATGGTGGCTCTCAGCCTCCACCGTCTCTTTACTGAAGATGATGCCCAACCCCGGGCTAGAACTAGGAGGGATATGGAGAGCTTGGAGGGACTTGGAGCCAGACACAGGAATGACTGGATAATCTGTAGAGAAGCCCTAAGCTTCACACACACACACGCTGACAAGCTATTTTTTTCATCTCTGAGGACAAAGCAAGCAGAAGCAGGACTTCAAGTCCAGTAGGAAGGGTGTTGGAGACATTGGGGCAAGTTCCAGGAGAAGCCTGTGGGTCCCCATGTGAGTCCTGGGCCTTCCGTTTCTAAGGCTGATCTGTGTGCCAAATCCCTATCACTTATATTTAGCAATCCATATACCACCTGCCAACACAGTAGACCAGCTCCCCTCAGGCAGGCTCCACTTCACCAGGCTTACCTGGCTATCCCAGGCAGGGATGGCCCCTGTTCAAGGGCCACCATATGAAACTTGGTCCCCTAGCCATGCCCAAAGGGAGGACAGCAGCTGGCAGCAGCGTCTATGTGACCCAAGACCATAACATCGTGGCCAGTGGCTACACCCGTTTCCATTTCACAGAAGCTGATGGGGTTCTTGAACTCAGAATCTGCTTAAGGGGCTGGGGAGGAAAGCAGCACGGTGAACACTGTACGGTACACTTGACAGTGAGCTCGGACCTGTAGAGAACTAAACATGTCATGTGGAACACAGCTTGATCTCTCCTTACCTACAAAGCCCTCCTTACCAGGGCTTGGCAAAGTCTTCTGGTGTGGGGTGGCTAGAGGCAGTCTCCATCCTGGTCGTGTGGTCTTCGGCATCCCGTCCTTGGGTCCCACACTGGTCTTCACCTGAATGTCATTTTCTGCTGGTAGTAAGGTCTCTAGCAGTATGCTGACTGCAGGGCTCTTCAGACCCCTCTCCCTGACCTAAGTCCACTTTCGAGGGCTTTCTGCCTCAGCGGCTGCCATGCCACTCTGCCCCTGGCGCCCAACTCTCCCTGTGCCCTCGCCAGGTCACACGCTGAGTGGGAGCCCTCACGGCCTCATCAGGACATCCACAGCAGCCGTTTGTACAAGCGGCATGGGCACCAGAGCGCCCCACGCCCCAGGCAGGGTGCTCTCTCCCTGCTCCCCTGACTGCTGGATGAGCTCATGCATTCCTGTGTCCCCACCTCAGAACAGGGGTCTCTCAGGGCCACCCAGCCCCGAGGCTGGGAACGGGTATCGATCGGCCAGGCCCTGCTCCTCTCGGTTGGTCTGGTCAACCATGCTGGTCCCGGCTCACCTACCCTGGACCACCCGGGGCTGACCTGGACTGGAGCCCGGTCCTGCTCCCACGCGGACTTTGCACTCAGTGGCACAGCCGCAGAGGCCCACGGGCTTTGCACCCCCAAGGCTCCTCCCTTGGGCTTCCCTGCCTTTGGCCCACTCTCTCCCCGGGATGGGCAATGCTGGCACCCTGCCTTCAGGACAACCGGCTCCAGGAGGCTCTGACCTTAGAATGCCTTTCTCCTCACCCTTTCCTGCCCAGCCTGTGTGATCCCCCACTATTAGATCTCACGGACAGCTGGATGCTTCCAGTTTGTATGAAGCACTTCTTGTCTTCCAAGCATCGTCTTGGGAGCTAAGAATACAAATAAGAAGCTGGTGAGGATGAAATGAGTGCCTCGGTCTACATCAAAAACTCCCCAACAGCAGAAATGCCATGTGGCTCACACCTGCCACTGCTGACTTGTGGACCATAGACCACCTAACACTGGTGTTCGGCTTATTGCATTTGGGTCTATTATTTCGTGCTGTCTTAGCTTATTTATTTTTTCAAAAATTTTTTAAGGTTTCTTTATTTTTGAGAGACAGAGCATGAACACGGGAGGTAGAGAGAGGGAGACATAGCATCCAAAGCAGGCTCCAGGCTCTGAGCTGTCAGCACGGAGCCAGACATGAACCTCAAGATCATGACCTGAGCCAAAGTCGGACACTTAACCAGCTCAACCACCCAGGCGCCCCTCTCTTAAATTATTTTAGACAGCTTAGGCCCAATTGAACACATGTCTAATATGTGAAGACGTTGTAGTCCAGCTTCAAACCTAGAGGGCCACAGTTAAGATTACCCTAGAAGCAAACTAGCAACCTGCTTCTTTTAAAATGAGAAGAAAATGTGTGTTCCTACAGTGCTGTGTATTTTGCAAGCATGAGTACTCTTTCCTTAATCCTTGGAACCCCGAGACAGAGGTATCTGTGTCCTCCTTTGCAGATGAAGAACCAAGGTGTAGCTCGAGTGAGAGTGAGGTTTCAGCTTTGGACAGTGTTGGTTGGGGCTTCGGTTTTCTTACAGCCAGCCCCCGCCTCCTTCCACTGTTCCATCCTGGAAGAGGTGACCCTGGGAATCCTGAAGCTGGTCTATCTTATATGTAGTCCTAGGATTTAAATCTTTTTTTTTTTTTTAATGTTTAGAAAAATCAATAAGGCAGTCAAACCTGAGGAAAAACCGTAGAACTTCTTTCTCACGGACATGAAGCTATGGAGGGGCACCTCGGTGCCTAGGTCGGTTAAGCGTCCAACTTCGGCTCAGGTCATGACCTCACGG